CCTGGCCCTCGCCGCCATCTCCGCCTCACATCTCCCCACTGACATCCTGGCCCCCAATCTGCCTACAACTCCTCCTTCCAGGAAGTCTCTGGGCCAGCTTCCAGGAAGTTTTCTTAAGACTAAAAAACAAGCCTGGGACAATCTATGTCGTTAGCGCTGGAGGGGCGAAAGTCCTCAATAAATTGGGCCAACCTTCCTGCGAGTTGGTTAAGACACGCTGGCCCAGCTATTCAGAAGGAGGTTTCTTAATCAGACGCTCGACTGTGAGATCCTGGCCCCTGATCTGCCTACCACTCCTCCTTCCACTCCCCTTGCCCTCTCCTCCCCTCCCCCCTCTGCTCACTGTCCCCACTGCTCCCCTTCCCCTCCGCACATGCCAGTTCAGGAAGCTGGGCATATTTTCGAAGGGATCGGTGGGAAGCCTGCGCGAAGGGGGGCGGAGGGAAGCCCAGCGAGCCCAGCGCAGCAGCTGGGCGGGCGCCGCCAGATGCCACGCAAGGGCAGTCCTTTTACTTGATCGGCGTGCTCCAACACACTTCAGCAAAAGGCGTGGCCGCGCGAGGACAATCCGAACATGCGCGCGCGGTGCGGGCCACGCTGACGCTGCGAATGCGGAATCTCTGCTGCATAGGGCCCCGCTGCAGCGGACAAGAGAAAGAGTAAGCGAGTGTGCTCGTGAGGGCTTTTCGGCCACGGAACCCTCGCCCAAGGCCCCTCGTGCGGCGGGTGGCGCCCTCGGACACACGGTGCGCCCAGGGACACAGTAGGACCGCTGGGGCCGCACCCTCTCTCCGACTAGCCACCAGAGCAGAACAATTGGCCAAGCGCATCCGATCCTTTCCAAACGCGTAACGACTATCAACAGGACCACTCGGCACAAAGGACCACACTGAAAGATCTGCGGCACTCCTGAACGCTTCGCCAACAAGCACCTGCCGACGCTAACTCTTCACGAAAATACCTGCAATTGCGCAGTTGGCAGACCCCCAGGGGAGCCGCGAGGGCTCGTCTGGGTCTGCGTGACACCCCTCCACTGGACCTCCCAGCAACACACGAAAGTGGCGACGGTTGCGCAGCTGGCAGCCCCGCAGGGAGCAGCAAGGTCTCGTCTGGGTCTGCGTGGCACTTCCTTGCGTTGGACCTTCCAACGAGCTGCGAGGTCTCGTCGGGGTCGGCGTGTCCCTGCAATCCGCTGGGCCTCCCAGGAACCCACGAAAGTGAAGACGGTTGCGCAGCTGGCAGCCCCCCGAGGAGCCGCGAAGTCTTATCTGGATCTGCATATCTCCCACTCCGCCGCCGCCGGCGCGAGGAGCCGCGGGGTTTTACCTGGATCTGCTCGTCCCCCCACTCCGGTGGGCCTCCCAGGAGCCCACAAGAGCGACGACGGTTGCGCAGCTAGCAGACACCACCAGGGAGTCGTGAGGTCTCGTCTGGGTATGCGTGTCCCCCACTGTACTGGGCCTCCCAGGGCCTACGCAAGACGCAGGTAGGAGGTAGTAGGCAGGAGGAGGGAGGAGATGGGAGGGAAAGGCGCGCGGAAGCGTGATGTTGTCAACTCGGAAGGTCTAGCGTCGGCTCGGAAGCAGTCAGGAGTAACCACTCTCGAGGCACGGCGGCGGCGATTGCTGGCCGCAGGTCATGATTGTGTCGAAAAGCGAACTATGTTGAAGTGGAATCGTTGTTCTCGCACCTTTTCCAAGAAGGGGCAGCTCTCTCAGTCTTGGCCTTGTGATCGTGTGCCCTTGCTGGAGTTCGCGCAGGCCCGAGGTGCGTGGGAGCCTCGCGACGACCCGCGACGTGAGCTGCCCACCCCCCCGCCGCTGGTCGTCGCCGACATCCAGAACACGGCGCGAGCCAGCAGACCATCCTCTCTTTGGGGAGGTGCATGTGTCGCACGTGTTGTGTGCGTGTGTCTTGCGTGGCGTGTTGCATTGCTCCTTCTCATGTGGACGTGTTGGGCTCCTCATCCTCCTCCTCCTCCTCCTCCGCCTCCTCCTCCTCCTCCTCATCCTCCTCCTCCTCCTCCGTCTCCTCCCTCTCATCCTCCTTTTCTGTCTTGCAAAGGTGCTCCCCCAAGAGGGTCAACAACGGCTGGGGAAACACTTAGTCTAGTAGTTTTGCCAAACGTTGGCCCAACGTTTGGCATGGGCGTTTCCAAAAGGCGGGGTCTGGCGGTGGTTCGCCGTAGAAGTATCCGAGATTTCCCCACAGGGTCGGTAACGTCTGGGCGCTGGGACACTCCAAGGATCTGGTGTATGGCCCCTCAGGGGCTTCGGGGAGAGGGAAGAGCATGGAACAGCGGCAAAAGAGCATGGTCTCTGGCACAGGGTCCAGCATGACGCCGAGCACGTCCACGAAGTGTCGCGACCCACACATACTGTACCGAAAACCATCGCCTCGTCCGGCGGAAAACGCCTCAGACTGCTGGCTTGCAGGGCACGCATGAGGGGGGCGCGGCGCCTTCGGCCGTATTTAAACTCGAAGTCGACGCTGGGAGTGTAGCGCGATGCACTGCGCAGCCCCAGTGCCGCCGTCCATGCGCAAAACTGGACAGGCCAGGCAGAGGACGGCTGAAAAGGGCTGCGGCACGCGCGTCATCCGGCCCCTTCCATCCACTGCTGCCAGAGGGAAGATTTTCCAAATAGTCGGCTGCCCGGACCCCACAGCAGGGTCTGCGGGATAAATCGTAGTAGTCTGCAAATGCGCCTCCTAAACAGGGCCCCTGAGAATTGCCCATGTGGCTGGAACCTTGATCGGAGCTTGTCAAACCTTGGAGCATGACTTTTTGTGGCAGCCCTGACCCATCGCTGAGAGTCGCTGAGCTCAGCAATTTCTGCGCGACGCCATGCGATACAATGGGATTTGGGACGAAAAAAAAACTCAAACATGATCGACCCACGAACCCCGGAAAGGAATATAGAAATGTAAGGCATTGCAACATTTCAAAGACACCTGATTGGGCGACGGGCACATGCAATGCTGAATGTATCGATGATGATGTACTGTGCCGAGGGCTGTGCTGTGCTACGCCGTGCTGAACTGCGATGTGCCACGCCGCGATTGTGCTCTCTATAGCGTTGTGGATCGAGTCCTCCCTGGCATCCGAGTCCTCTCCGAACTGATCTGGAGCGTAAGCTCGAGCTGCCTGAGCAGATGGCAGCTGCCCCAGAACTAATCGACAGAGGGAACATGCCAGGAGGACGCGCCGCCGAACGTCCCAAGGGACGCGCCAGGCGACGTGCCAGGGGACGTGCCATGGGGACGCACCGCGGGACGTGCCAAGGGGACGCGCTACGGAACGTGCCAATGGACGTGCCGAGGGACGTGCCAGGGGACGCGCCGCGCGACGTGCCAGGTGGACTCGCCACGGAACGCGCCAAGGAACGTGCCAAGGTGCATAGTTGAGTGTATCGATCTTGATGTACCGTGCCGACGGCTGTGCTGTGCTGGGCCGTGCTGAACTGCGATGTGCCATGCCGCGATTGTGCTCTATATAGCGTTGTGGATCGAGTCCTCCCTGGCATCCGAGTCCTGACCGAACTGATCTGGATCGTAAGCTCGAGCTGCCTGAGCAGATGGTAGCTGCCCCAGAACTAATCGACAGAGGGAACATGCCAAGAGGACGCGCCGCGGAACGTCCCAAGGGACGCGCCAGGCGACGTGCCAGGGGACGTGCCATGGGCCATGGGCACGCACCGCGGGACTTGCCAAGGGGACGCGCTACGGAACGTGCCAGTGGATGTGCACCGCGCGACGTGCCAAGGGGACTCGCCACGGGACTCTCCGCGGAACGTGCCAGGCAACATGCCAGGCTGCAATGCCAAGGGTGTCGATATTGATGTACCGTGCCGAGGGCTGTGCTGTGCCTGGGCGACCTGGACACGTGAAAACACGCGTTTCGGTCTAGACGTTGTCAGCACATCCTAATGCTAGACATCCGCCTGGGCAACCTGGACACGTGCAAACAAGCGTCTCGCTCGAGACATCCTCAACAAATGCTCATGCTAGACGTCCGCCTGGGCGACCTGGACACGTGAAAACAAGCCTCTGGTTCAAGACATCCTCAACAAATCCTCATGCTAGACATCATCTGTCTAGGCCACCTGGAGGCGTGAAACCAAGCGTCTCGCTCGAGACATCCTCAAGACCTGGACACGTGAAAACAAGCAATCCGCTTGAGAGATCCTCAGAATTCAGGTCCCCAGGAGAGGACAATCTATAACACAAAACAAGCGTTTCGCTCGAGGCATCCTCAACAAATTCTGAAAAACATGCGTTTCGCTCGAGACATCCTCAGATTTTAATTCGCCGGCCCTACGCGACCTCGTTATTTATCGCAGAATAATTTCGCCGGCCCAAGTCGCAGGGGGGCCAGGGGGTTAACCTACTAAAAGAGAACCCTGGGCCCGCGCCCTTTCCGGGAAAAGATGCCCAAAAATGCTCAAAAAAAAGTCCCCGGCCTATTCTTTGACTATTTTTAAATACTCCCCCTGTAGAGGGACAGGCCCGACTTAACCCTCTGTTGTTCTACCGAACTCACCACCCCCCCGCTGCCCATCATTCGCCCTTCCATTGCCACCGCAACGATGGAATGCCCCAACTCTGTCTCACCCTGACTGTCGCCAAAGACGCCTCCTACGCTTCCCCTAAACTCATGGCTGCCCAACTCTTTCCCTGTCACAACCGAAGCTGCAGTCTTGCTAAGCACTCTTCGCACAATCCTCTACCGACTCTGCTTCCTACTGGCTTGGACTTGCAACATGCTGTGGAACTTCATGTAACTTGCCCGTCCTGGATATATCCTGTCTGATCTCCACGCTCCGCCCTCTCACTTCCGTGTGCAGCATCCCTCGGCAACCACGCAAAGCAGCGCCTAGACCCTGGCCAAGCAAAGTCAACGGAGCAGACCCCGACGGACGGCAAACTGCATGCAACACAAACATACCGAAACCGTTAAGGCTCATGCGTTCCAACGCGCGAAATGCCCTGCACCCTGTGACCAGCATGGAGAGGCGGCCGTGCTTAATCTCCACTGATCTTCTGCGTCGAAACTTCATGACCTATAGGCGCCGATGGCACAGGAGTGGCGACATCGAGGGCAACCGCTTGTGGGAACGGCGACGGTAGGGATGGCAACGACCGTATCCAGTTGATACCACGGCTAGCTGACGTGAATGGCCAAAGTGACCACAATCGCAATCTTGATAGCTTCTCAGGCCATGCCGACAACGCCGAAAACAACTGACCACTGCGACCAGCACGTTAAGCAGCATGACCATGGCGTTTAGCAAGAGGAGTGGCCCAGCAACATCGGAAGGTTCTTCAGCGTTCAAGGTGCGACAAGGCAGCGCACAACGCCCCCCCTCCCTTCAGAAGCAGGACCGCGAGCCACTGTGATACCATTCCTACAGCCACCAGCTAGGCAGCGCGCCTGCAAACACACAACTGAATTTTCATGGCAAGCCGGTTCAAGGCAGTTATCGGCGAACTGCTCCGGCATGCCTGCTCGATTACTTTTTGGCCAAAACCCATGCTCGACGCGGGTGCCCTGTCACGTTACTAATAATTTTTGGTTGGCCCAAGAGGGGGTCCAGCTGCAAGGGGGTGGTGCAATAGTTTTGGGGCAATTGGATTGCACATGTAATGCGCCGGAGAATTGTATTGCTTTGTATTACAGCGAGTGTGTTGCACGCGAAAATCAAGCAATACATTTGCGCACTGGAACACATTGCACGCCCCAAATCTATTGCAACGTCACATGTCGATTGCACCAAATCTATACCACCCTCTTCTCGCTGGACCCCCTTCTGGGTCAACCAGGTACCTAGCACTCTTGCACGCGCGCGCTGGCTGGGTGTCTGAGCATGCTTTGTCTATGGCGGGAGCTAGTGGCAGCGAACTCCAGCGAGGCACGTGCACATCCGGCCCCTTTGGCGAGGCCTAGCCGGGTGGACTGCCTCCCAGCGGCCTCTGGCCTGGGCCCCTGCGCGGCGGTGTGCCCTCACTGCAAGAGGAGGGCCCCTTCTCGCGGGCCCTGTCCCGCACTCGTGCCGGAGACCCCCACGACTCCCCTGACCTTCCAGGAGGGCTAAAAAATAGCACCCGACCTAAAAACCTATCCCTGAGCTATTCTATGTCTTGGCTTTAGGCTGTTTCGTTTCGTGTTTTAGGTTTTGAGGCCTCCAGTGCTAAAAAACAGCTCTATAGAAGGTCAGGGTCCCGCCCCCCCCTGCCCCACCAACCCTGAGGTCCTGGCGTCCCGATGTTCTTCGCCACGGGCGTTTTCGCCCGGACTCGGGCCCCCAGGGCCTTCTCGGATCGATCCAGCTCGAGATGGGGACCAGGGCTCTGGTCATGGTCTTTCACCGCGCTGCAGCTTTGGCCGCGTCGTCGGCTCTCGTGGCCCCTGCCCCGCCAAGGTCCACACCGCCCGACGCCCGCGGGCCGTGCAGGCGCTCTGCGGAGCGCCCCTGCCCCCTGCTCTGCCCTCCTTCCCCTGCCACTGCCTGGCCCTCGGGCCCCGGGCCCCGCACCTCCTCCGCGCCTGCAGCTTCAGCCGACCCACCCCTCCACCGGAGGAGCGGGGGCAGGAGGTGAGGCAGCAGCAGCAGCAGCAGCAGCAGCAGCAGCAGCAGCAGCAGCAGCAGCAGCAGCAGCAGCAGAGAGGGCGCGGCACCCCCCCAGCCCGCGCTTGAGAGACCCACGCTCACAGACTGACGCGGCGCAATCCTGCGCGATCTGGCGCGGAGCGCCTGGGCGGGCCCTGATGGTATGCAGCACTGCTGCAACGAAGAGGCGACCGGAGGCCCGAAGAAGGCAAGATGCGGGAGGGAGGTCTCCAGTCGGGTTCCGCACGGTGCTGCACGGATCTTCGTGACGTCGGACCTCGGGAGCGATCAAGGCTCTCGAAGCTTCTCGGACGTGACTGGGCGGTGCCGGTGCCCCGGGCCCCCGACTCCAGCGAAGGGCCGCTCTTGGAGGAAGACAGCACTGCACAAGCACAAACTTTCGTAGGTCCGCGCGGGTTCCTTGGTTCTGCGCCGGAGCCCCCCCCCCGGCCCCGGGGCGCGGAGCGCGCCAGGAGCGGCGCCAGAGGCGCTGCTCCGAAGGGCCCCGGAAATCTTCGCGACGACGACGACGACGACGACGACGACGACGACGACGACGACGACGACGACGACGACTTTCTTCCCAGCTCTGCGTGGAGCTCCGACAGATCGCCGAGCCGAGGAATCCGCGCGGAACTCCGACGGCTGCTCGCGGTCGGGGGCCTTTGCCTAGCGTGCCGCCACGGCGGCCGGTGGCGGCACGCTCTGCCCTGCCAGCGGATGGCGTGTCGCTGCGACCCGCGGGACCCGCAGGCCCGAAGGGACGGGCGGGAGGGGAGGACGCCGCGGGCGGCGGAGCACGCTCGGACCGTGAAGGTCTTGCACGTGTGTGCCGGAGCACAGGCCCACACGGACAGTGAACCAGGGAGCAGCACCCATCGGTCGGAAGAAGTAGGTAGAGACATGGAGGAGGAAGGCGGATAGAGGAGATTGGGTCCGGGCCCGCCCGGAGAGCAACAAAACGCAGCAGAAGCATATCAGTTCTTGACGTAGGAGGGCGCTTGAAGTAGATTGAGTTTGGGGAATCCAAAAAAACCTACTTTCAACGACCGATGGGTATGGCAGGATGCGGGGAGACGGAAACCAGCTGCGCGACACGCTATCCAAAAAAGCCCGTCCCCATGCCACTTGTGGAGGCACCAGAAGGTACTGATACCGCTACTCCCCGGACCTCTCCTGGGATGCGTTCTGACCAGGACTTCGAGGCGAATCCAGCGGTGGCGACGAGGGCCGCCCAGGAGGCCCAGAAAGAGGAAAACGAGGGAAGGGTGGAGGCTTGGGCACATCCTCCTCCTCCTCCTCCTCCTCCTCCACCTCCTCCTCCTCCTCCTCCACCTCCTCCTCCTCATCATCATCATCATCACCATCATCCTCCTCCCCCTCCTCCCCTCCCCCTCCTCCTCCTCCTCCTCCTGCTCCTCCTCCTCCTCCTCCTCCTCCTCCTCCTCCTGCTCCTCCTCCTCCTCCTCCTCCTCCCTCCTCCTCCTCCTCCTGAGTCTCGTCTCCTCCGCACTCCTGCGCACAGCCGGTCTCCGCCGTGCGCCCCTCGGCGAGGCCGGCGGGCCCCTTCCCCGGGGGACGTCGCCGTCGTCGGCGAGGCCGGCGGGGTCCCAGAAGCCCACGGGGTCCTGCGCAGCCGGAGGCGCGGGGAAGGGCGGGCCGGCCGCCGGGCGGGGCGCGAAGCTGCGGGGACTGGCGGTGCGCGAGGCCCCAAGGCAGGCTCGCGTCGTGGGCGTCGCGAGACGCTGCACGCAACCAGCATCCTCATCATCATCAGCAGCAGCATCATAATCAGCATCGTAAGAACCATCGTCATCATCATCATAATCACATCACCACCACCACCACCATCATCATCATCTTCAAACATAATCAGCATCATTCACCATCATCATCAAGGGCCATCATCATCATCAGCATCATCATCAGCATCATCAGCATCATCATTCACCATCGTCATGTAACATCATCATCATCACCAGCAGCATCAGCATCAACAACAACCAAACATATGAACAACAAAATGATCATTCAAGAAACCTGGACGTGAATGCTGGGGGGGGGGGGGGGGGCGAACGTGCTCGAGAAGCTGGTAGGGAACGCTGGCACAACTTTCCGGGAGGAGGTTTCTTAATCAGATGCTCGACTGTAACAGTCGTGACGACCCTGACGAGGATGGCGCCCCTCCCAGCGGGCACGAGGCCTCTGCCGGCCACATGTGCCCCGCTTGTGGGCCAGGCGCCCTGGCGCTTGAAAAGAGCCCGCGACGCACCCCTCTGTGGTGCGACACAGCCAACGGGGCGCATCGTCCTTGGCGCTCGTCGGAGGAGCGCCAACAGGCGCAGAGAGAGCCCGCAACAGGGCCCCACGGAGCCCCAACACCCCCCGTAGCAATGTCACGGGCATCCTAGTGCACATGGCGTGCTGGTCTGCCCGCGCCGTGCTCTATTACTCCTCTCTCTCTCTCTCTCTCTCCCCGTCCGCTTCGTTCGCGCTGCGTCTCGGCTTTGTGCACCATCCATCCGACGTGTTCTGGCTCGGGCGAGGACGGGAAGGGAGCAGTGCGGCGTGGAGGAGCAAACATATCCGGGGTCGACGTTGGGTGATTTTCACCGCGGTCCCTGGGAGTCCCGACCCTCTTCACAGGGCCCGTTTCTCACCCCGAGTCGCTTTTGTTGACGGTCCCCCGGCCCATCCAGGGTCCCCAGTAGGGGAACGAAAAGTGGCATAAACAGAAAACCTCGGAGGTCCGCGCGGATTCCTCGGATCGGCGCCGGGGCCCCCTGGCGGCGCCTCGAGCGCCGCCCAGGAGGCGCGCTCCGCGCGCCAGGGAGGGGGGGGCCCCAGCGCCGACCCGAGGAATCCGCGCGGACCTCCGAGTTTGCATGTTTATGTCACGTTTCGTTCCCCTACTGGGGACCCTCGCTGGGCCCCAGGACCGTCAACAAAAGCGACTCGGGAGGAGAAGCTGGCGCCCTGTGGAGAGGGTCGGGACTCCCAGGGACCGCGCGGTGAAAATCACCCCACGTCGACCCCAGATATGCTTGCTCCTCCACGCCGCACTGCCCCCTTCCCGCCCTCGCCCGAGCCAGAACTCCGCGCGGACCTCCGAGTTTTTATGTTTACGCCACTCTTCGCTCCCCGACCCAGGGCAGGACACGGCCCCAAACGCTCTCTCGACTGGCCGACGACGCCAGCAGATCTCGGGGGGGGGGACCGCCCGCGCCGACCCTGGCCAAAGGCATGCCCGGGGCCCCAGCGCCGCTCGTCGCGCCCTCCCGGCCGAGCCAGGAGGGCACAGGCGCCGCTCCTGGGTGCAGGGTGGGGCTGGCCAGGATCGGCCGTGGTGGCGTGTACTCCAAATCCCTTATTAATCGACCCCCTCCCCTAAAAAACCGGACCCCCTCCAAATGCGACCTAATATTCCGGACCCCCTCTTCGATGGGGCGCCTTAGTAAACCAGACCCCCTCAGCTCCAATCCAAAGAAAGCGACCTAATAAACCGGACTCCCTTAATGACCAAAAAGGCGCCTTAAAAAACCGGACCCGGGGGACGACTAATAAGGGATTTGGAATACAGGCCCCCCGTAAAAAGAAGGGCGCGCGATACAGGGGCGGCCAGTCCACAAGAAGCCTTCCACAGGAAGCCAAACCCTGAGACTCCAGGGCGTCCACCGGTTCTTGGTGTGGGAACGTCACGCTTTCCGTGTCGAAACCATCGAAGCCCAAGAAATCCAGGGCACCCTGCAGCCAAGCAGAGCGTTTCTTGGCATGGGCCCCCACCGTAAGGATGTAAGGGTGCAAGGGCCTTGGAGGGCCATGCCGACACTTTGCGAGCGGGGCGCGGCCAGCGAAAGCGACCAAGGATGGGCCGAAGGGGCAGGATGTAACGGTAACCTTGGAAAGCCGCTCATCCTTACTATGCGGGCTGACTGTACCCGAGACGTACCCAACCCCCTCTCCACGCGAGGCGAATATTTGCATGAATGCTCCATGCAAAAGAACACATCGCCAGACATGCGAGATCAGCGCAGCCCTCCTCTCCGCCGTGCCCGTCAGGAGCCCAGCAAAGAGGCGCCAGTTACGCAGTTCGTAGCCTCCCAGGGCGCTGCGAGGTTTCGGCTGGATGCGCGTGGCCCCCGATTCCGCTGGACCTCCCAGGAGCCCACCGAAGTGGCGACAGTTGCGCAGTCGCAGCATCCCACAGAGGAGCGAGGTCTCGGCTGGATGCGCGTGGCCCCCGACTCCGCTGAGCCTCCCAGGAGCCCACGAAAGTGCGACAGTTGCGCAGTCCGCAGCCACCCAGGGAGCAGCGAGGTCTCGGCTGGGCGCGCGTACTCCCCTCATTGCTCCGCCGACAGTTGCGCAGTTCACATCCCCCCATGGAGCTGCGAGGGCTCGGCTGGGTCCGCGTACTCCCCTACTCCGCCATGCCTCCCAGGAGCCCACGAAAATGGCGACGGCTGCACAACATGGAGGGGTCTGTCGCGGGATCTCTTCGAGCGCCAGGGCGCCTGAGCCACAAGCAGGGCACAGGGCCCCTGGCTTACAGGGTGTGCCCCCACTTACAATCACGCGCGCACAGGCATGACCCTACCAGAGGGCGCGGCCAGCACGTCAAAAACACAGGCCAGGCGGTTTGAGGGCCAGCCTTCTTGACGCAATCCCTGCTCGTTTTACTCCTCTCGTCTTTCCGTTCTCACTGTCCTCACCTCTCACCGAGCAGCGGCAAGAAACCGCAAAAAAAAAACATCAGCTGTAGTCTTTCTTTGTTTTTGTTGCACTGTGCCCATTGCTTCTATTCAGTACTTTGCCGCTAGTTCGAAGCATGTCACTCTTACCTGCTCTTACGTCGCCTGTGCTGCATGCTTTGATCTTAATTCAGTGCTGCTCGCCTGTACCCATAAAATTGGGAGTGGGGGTGGGCTTGGGATTCCAAGGTAGCACCAGGCGCTGCAGCTTCTACCGCCTGGCGGGCGCATACTCTGAGGACCTCCACTTTTCTGAGATTGCTGCACGACTTTGTCCGCTGCGCCCGCCAGGCTAGCTTGCTCTTTGCTCCGCTAACTCGGCGGCACTTTCCTGCATCTACGTGACAAGCTTGCGCTTCACACCTGGGCAACGCCAAAAAGGAGAAGGAGGAGGAGGAGGAGGAGGAGGAGGAGGAGGAGGAGGAGGGGGAGGAGGAGTAGGAGTAGGAGGAGGAGGAGGAGGAGGAGGAGGGGGGGAGGGGGAGAGGGGGGAAAGGGGGAGAGGAGAAGGAGGAGGAGGAGGAGGAGGAGGAGGAGAAGGAGGAGGAGGAGGAGGAGGAGACTGGGACCCAGACCTCTGCTGCCGTGGCCTGTTCACGGCGTGGGCCCCAGAGCCCTCCCCTGGGGCCTCTTGCTTCCTCGCCCCTGGCCGCCTGCGCACGGCCGCGGGGCCCGCACGCGAAGCCCAGGGACCTAAGCTGCCGAGCTCCTTAAACAATTGTTTTTTGATTCGCGGGTCGAGAGCGCACCTCTTGCGGTCGAAGCTAAGCGGGCCGCGCGAAGCTTGAATTAACCAGGGATGGGGGAGGAAAAGGGGGGGCGCAGCCTCGGAACGAATCCCTCAAACAAAAAAGGCGGAGAATGAACATGAACAACGAAAAACAAGAGAAAAAAAAGCGCGGGAAGGCAGAACGGCGCCGGAAGCCCACGAGGAGGATACCCAGTGCGCCCCCCCCCTGGGTGCACGCGCGCGCGCGCCCTCGAAGCCCTCGAAGGTCACCAAGAGCCTCCGGAGGCTCCCGCGAAAGCCCCCAGGGGCCCCCCAAGGCCTCGCGAGGGCTCCCGGAGCGGGCCCCCGAGGGCCCTGCGAGAAGCGCGCGAAGGCCGGCTCCTGCACGCCGAGCTCGTTCTCGAAGGCGGCGAGCGCGACGCGATGCCTGAACCCGCGGCGCGCTCCTCCCGATTCCCTGATTTCCTGAAGGCGTTGGTGTGCTCCGCACGCTGCCGCTGAGCTCCTCCCTCGTCTTCGTCCTCGTTCTTGTTCTCGTCGTCTTCCTCCTCCTCGTCCCCTCCTCCTCCTCCTCCTCCTCCTCCTCCTCCTCCAGAATGGCCCTTAATATTATCCTAAAGGTCTGGTTTTGCAGAAAGTGTGGCTTCTTTTGTAGCGATCCTTTGTCCAAGAATTTAAGAGCCATTTGCGCAGGGCACGCGAAGCTCTGTCATACCCGAAGAGAATACCTCCGAAGGTTAGATCGTGGGCTCTGGCTGAAGGCGCTCACCCGAGCTCAACAGGCAGTGAGAGCTACGGGTGGCTCATGATTCAGAATACCGCCTTGTGATGGCGTCCACTCCACTCCACTCCCCCTCCCTGCTAATCCTGCCTCCTCGTCCTGCCCCCTCATCCTGCCTCCCCATCCTCCCTCTCTCCCTCGATCCTCATCCGCATCCTCCATGCTCATCCTCATCCTCCTCCTCCTCCCCTCCATCCTCATCTTCCCTCCTCATCCTCATCCCCTCCTTCCCTCCGTCCTCGTCCTCCCCTCCTCACCCTCCCTCCCCATCCTCCTCCGTCGCTCTCCGACGCCTCCCGGCGGCCCCGCGGCGCCCGCGGGGAGTGCCACGGGCGAACGGCCTGCACCAGCACTCCCCCTTGACACCCTTGCGGCGGTGCCCCCCCTCAGCGGAGGAGGAGGAGGAGGAGGAGGAGGAGGAGGAGGAGGAGGAGGAGGAGGAAGAGGACACCAAAAAAACGACGGAGAGTTTGGGACAATCTGCGGCCTCCGGGGGCCCTCGCTGGGCCCTGGGAGCGTCCAAGAACAGCCCGGAGAGCCACGCTGTTGAAAGGCACGGCGCCAGACGTCTGGGTCGGAGGCCCCTCGGAGGCCCTCAGAAGCCACGGGCGCCCTCGGAGGCCTTCGGAGGCCGTCGGAAGCCGTCGGAGACCTCGGGGCAACTGCAGGGCCCCGCGAGAAGGTGCAGGGGCCGGTGGTTCAAAGATGACGTCCAGAGGGATGGGGTCCGAGGAAGGGGTCTGCAGGTAGATTTGCAGTGTTTGAGGTACCTCCTCGGGAGGAGCAGGATGAGGAGGAGGAGGAGGAGGAGGAGGAGGAGGAGGGTAGGGAACAGGCGCGGGAGAAGGAGAGGAGGAGGAGGAGGAGGAGGACGACGACGACGACGACGAGGAACAGGAACAGGAGGAGGAGGGCAAGGGGAAGCCCCCATCCCATTCCTCATCCTCCTCCTCCTCCTTCTCCTCCTCTTCCTGCTCCTGCTCCTGGATCCTGCTCCGGGATCCGTGGGACCCCATCCCTCAGGACCCCATCTTTGAACCACCGAAAGGAGGCGAGCAGCCTCCACATACACCCGGCGCCACGAAGGACCCGTGGCGGCCGGTTCTCCACGCCTTGGGGCTCCAACGAAGCGTCCAAGAACTCCACGAGCCTGCAGGCAAACTGCCCTGGACCCAGACCTCACGAGGATCACGCAGCACACTCGTTGGCCTCACACCCCTGAGCAGAGAATGAAGAAAAAAAAAAAAAAAGCAGGAGCAGAAAAAGGACAAGAGAGGGGAACACGGGCAGGGAAGGAGCAGGACGCGAAGCGCGCGGGAGGGGGGCAGCAGCAGCAGCAACCGCTACCCAACGGTTACCATCGTGCACGCGACAGAGCGAACTTGCACTTTGAGTCGACACCTGCATCCAGCCAGCAAGGGGGAGGAGAAGGAGGAGGAGGAGGAAGAGGAGCAGGAGGAGGAGGAGCCTCCTTGCCGCGGCCCTCCTGCGCTCTCCAGGGCCTCCTTCTCCTCCTCCTCCTCCTCCTCCTCCTCCTCCTCCTCCACCTCCTCCTCTGGACGAAAGAACGAACGAACCAACAATCGAACCAAAAAATAACGAACGAACGAACGCACGCACAAGGGCCTGGGCAGCTTCCTGGGCCATCCTGGGGCCTTCTCCTCCACCCTCTCATCATCATCATCATCATCATCATCATCATCATCATCATCATCATCATCATCATCATCATCATCATCATCATCATCATCATCATCATCATCATCATCATCAACCTCATCTTCAGCAGCAGCAGCATCATCGTCATCATCATCACCATCAGCATCAGCATCAGCATCAGCATCATCATCATCATCATCATCATCATCAGTATCATCATCACCTTCATTTCCATCATCATCATCATCATCATCATCATCATCATCATCTAATTTATTATCAGCATCTGAATCATCAACATCATCATCATCAGCAGCATTATCAGCAGCAGCAGCATCAGCAGCATCATCTGCATCAGCATCCGCATCATCATCATCATGATCATCCTCAGCATCATCAGCATCATCATCAGCAGCATCATGAGCAGCAGCAGCATCATCACCATCATCATCGGCAGCATCATCATCACCATCATCAGCAGCATAGTCATCATCAGCATCATCATCACTACCAGCATCATCAGCAGCATCATCGTAATAATAATCAGCATCGCCGTCATCATCATCATCATCATCATCATCATCATCATCATCATCATTAACATCATCAGCACCTTCATCATCTTGGTCATCGTCGTCGCCATCATTACCATCATCGTCATCATCAGCAGCAGCTTACCATACCAATCAGAAGCATAATCATCATCATCATCAGTATCATCATCAGCATCACCAATATCATGTTCGTCATCCTCACTCACCATCCTCAGCATCATCATCATCATCAGCAGGAGCTTATGATACCAATCAGAAGCATCACCATCATCATCATCCTCATCATCATCATCATCATCATCATCATCATCATCATCAGTAGCATCATCAGCATCACCAATATCACCTTCATCATCCTCACTAGCATAATCACCATCACCATCCTCAGCATCACCATCATCATCAGCAGCAGCGGCAGCATCTTCATCCCATTCATCATCATCAGCATCATCATGTTCACCATCATCATCACCATCACCGTCCTCACCATTATCATCTTCATCAGCATCCTCATCATCACCCGCGTCATCATCACCAGCAGCATCATCGTCATCATCATCAGCAGCATCATCAACATCATCATCATCACCACCTCCATCTCCATCTCCATCACCATCATCCTCCTCCTAATCATCATCACCACCACCAAAACCATTAGCAGCAGCAGCAGCAATACCATCATCATTATCATCATCATCACCACCATCATCATCATCATCACCACCACCACCACCACCACCACCATCATCATCATCATCATCATCATCATCATCATCACCCTCCTCCTCCTCCTCCTCCTTCTCCTCCTCCTCCGCCTCCTTCTCCTCCTCCTCCGCTTCTTCATCCTGCTCCCATCCATTACTCCCCTAACCATCGTCCTCATCAGCATCACCATCCTCCTCCCAGCGGCCGACTCATCGGGTGGGGCGCCTCTGCGCCGCCCGCGGGCCACCACGCTGCGGCGCGCGGCGGCTGAGCTTCCCGAGCGCCGCGGCGGCCGCGCCCAGCGTAGCCGCCACGAGGCAGGGCACGGCCGCGGCGCGCCTGGCGGCGGCGGCGCGACGGCGGCGGCGGCGGCGGCGGCACGGCGCGGCGGCACCGCGGCGGCGGCGTGACGGCGGCGCGACGGCGGCCGGCGCAGCGGCGGCGCGACGGCGGCCGGCGCGGCGCGCGGCGACTGGCAGCGGTCGCGCGCGCGGCGGCCAGCGGCGACAGCACGGCCGCGGCGCGCCTGGCGGCGGCGGAGCCGGCGGCGGCGCGGCGGCGGCCAGCGGCGGCGACTGCCGACCAGCGGCGAGCGCGACGGCGGCGGCGGCAGCGACGGCGGCGGCAGCACGGCGGCGGCTGCGGCGGCGGCGGCGGCTCGGCCGCGGGGCCGCGCGCGCGCGCTCCGGGATGGCCAGGATGGCGGGCATGGGCGCGCTCACGAGTCCCGAGGGAGAGGCGGGAGAGGGTGGAGGGGCGGAGGGGAGGAAGGAGGAGGCGGAGGAGGAGGCGGAGGAAGAGGAGGCGGACGAGAAGGAGGAGGAGGAGGAGGAGGAGAGAGAAAGAGGAAGAAAAGGAATAAATGAGCCGAGGAGGAGGATGAGGAGGAGGAGGAGGAAGATGGATGAGCAGGAGAAGGGGGAGTAGGAGGAGGAGGAGGAGGAGGAGGAGGAGGAGGAGGAGAAAAAGGGGGAACAGAGTAAAACCAGGATGCACGAACGATGCTGTAACACACTCTCCCGCCCCATGTACACCTTCACAAAGCCGTACAAATAGTCAGGGTTCACACCAGGAAACGCCAACTTCCAAGACGCGCGCCCCATGGGCATGCAATTCAGGTGAAAGTCCCGTTATCAGAAGGAACCACCATCCATCCACGCAGCAATGCGACAAATAATACGTGAGCACAACAAATAGAAAAGAAACGGTTTTGATAAGGAACCAGCCTTCCGCCGTGCAACTGTTGCACATTGATCTGGCTCTCTTGTCACAAAGCCCGAAGAAGCATCCAACGAGAGTCCAATTTCAAAAATGAGTCGCTTCCTATATGCGAAGCTAGTGCACATAATTAAGTGCTTCGTCGTAGACGTGTGGAAGCTTCTAGTGCTGAACTTTCAAAAGAAACCGCCCTCCATCCGTGTAGCTGCTGCAAACCTTTCAGAACCAACGTGCGCGGCGCCCATGTCAGAGCCACAATTCCAAAGCCACGTCACATCCGTCCGTTGAACTGCTGGAAGGCTTGCAAGATGAACTTGCGCAGCGGCAAAGCGAGAACCACATGCTGAACACCACCTGCCCTCCTTCCGTGTAACTGATGAAAACCTCGAACAGAATTAGGTGCGGCGCTACAGTCAACCCGTGCAGTCATAACGCACGACAAGGATGCAAGGGCCTTGAAGGGTCATGCCAACACTCTGCGAGCGGGGCGCGGCCAGCAAAAGCGACCGAGGATGGGCCGAAGGGACAAGAATGCAAGGGTAGCCTTGGAAAGTCGCTCATCCTTACTATGCGGGTTGACTGTATGGCAGAGGAGGGGCAAGAGGGAGTGGGCCGCCGACGACGACGACGGACAGACAGACAGACAGACAGACAGACAGACAGACAGACAGACAGACAGACAGACAGACAGCCAGCCAGGCAGGCAGGCAGGCAGGCAGGCATGCAGGCAGGCAGGCAGGCAGGCAGGCAGACAGGCAGACAGACAGACAGACAGGAAGGCAGGCAGGCAGGCAGGCAGGCAGACAGACAGAGAGAGAGAGATAGAGAGAGAGGAGAAAGGGAGGAAATGGGAGAAGGGCAAGCCAGGTGCGCTCGCGCCGCATCTGACATCATGTCCCCTCTCCCATCCCTTCTCGTTGCGTGAATCCTCTTCTCTCCGCCCAGCGGGATGTCCAAGGAGATCTGATCTGCGAATGGCAATTGCACTAACTGCCCCACCGTTGGCTGCACGATTGCAAGGGGGAGCTTCTCTGCATTGGAGAAGGGGGGAGCAGCAGCAGCAGCAGGAGCAAGAGCAGGGAGGCGAAGGAGGGAAAAGGAAGAGGACGTCAACGACGAGACTGAACTGTGGCCCGCGTTGGGGGCGCAATGTTCCGAGGTAACGACGGCGCAATGCTCCGATCCTTAAATTGGGCCACAGCTGTACCGGGAGCACCAAGAGGACGGACCGAAGACGCTCCGATCGTAAACGCACTGATTACAGAGCATCAACATTCGAGATTCTTTTTGCACGTGCAAAGAACAACTTGAGCAAGGCGGTGCGGGTGCTGCACGTCTTCAGGAGAGAGGGGACAAGAACTCAACAAATGAAAGTATGGAGGACAAGAGATAGGAAAAAAGTGAGGAGGGCGAGGACGAGGACCAAGAAGGGACGAGGACGCGGGTGAAGGAGCAGGAGGAGGAGGGAAAGAAAGACGAAGAGAGAGGAGGAGGACAAGGAGAAAGAGGAGGAGGAGGAGGACGAGGTCGACGAGGACAAGCAGGACGTGGAGAAGAGGCGAGCAGGGGCGGGAAGAAGAAGAATAAGGAGGAGGTGGGAGGGCGAGGAGAAGGACGTGCAGGACCAGAAGAAAAGATGAGGAAGAGGCCAAGAGAGAAGACTAGGATGAGGGCGGCGAGAGGGAGAGGAGACTGGGACGAGGACGAGAAGAAAAGGTGGAGGCGAGGAACAGAGAGGACAGGGAGGACAAGGAAAAAGAGAGGGAGGAGGAGGGAGGAGGGAGGAGGAAGGAGGGAGGAGGAGGGAGGAGGAGGGAGGGAGGAGTGAGGGAGAGGAGACAGTATCGCACAAGGGCGAAGGTGGGGATGGCGCGAATGATGAAGAGCGCGCCGGATGACGGCGCTCCGGCGGCGGAGGTCTCACGCGTACTTGAAGTCAGGGTAGAAGATGTACGGCCTCCTGCGGCGCATCTGCGGCCCCTCTATGTAGGTGGTGCCGCTGTTGAACTTGGACTGGTCCCACTGGCACTTCTGGGCCTCGGCCCAGTCGTCGGCTGGCCAGCCCTCCTCCTCCTCCTCCTCCTCCGCCTCCTCCTCCTCCTCCTCATCCTCCTCCTCCGCTCTTCCTCCAACGCTCCCGCTTCCTCCACATCCTTACTTCCTCCCCTCCTCGTTCTGCTCCTCTCCGGTCTCCTGCTCCTCCTCAAGGGGCGGCCAGCAGCGACCAGACGGACCCCTTCCGGAGCCCACACGAGTGGCCCTGGCAGAGCACCCGAACAGCCGCAGAGGTGGAGAGGCAGGTCGGGAAAGAGGAGGTCGGCCAGGAAATCCTGAGAAAGAAAAGACAGGCCTCGGAAAAAAATAGCGAACACTCATGCCACATTCATCTGTCAACGCCTCCCCCTCCCCCCAATGTTCATAGTTGGCGGTGGGTCTGATGAGTTGCACCTTGACCGCAGTCTCCCCCGCACGTGCCAACCTTGAGTTTGGGGGGCAGAGGGGGTGTTCACTAATTGTTTCCCTCTACCGGATCATCTTTGCTTTCTCAGACCTTGCAGAGGTGCTGCAGTGGATTTCTGCGTGGATTTCTGCCAGTGCAAGACCCCGCGAACGGCGCGTGAAAAACGAAGCGAGTTCCCAGTGGATTTGTTTCAGTCTTCCTTCCTGGGCCCCCCCCCAAAAAAAACACACGAAACTCACCTCGAGACCCCGAGCGATAAATTATCCAGGACCCTCCGGGCCCATCCGATCGTCTTCCGAACGAAATCCGCCCTGCGATGTTGAAGGGGCCCTGGGACACACAAATAAATACACACAAATAACAGGATTCCCCATATTCCCCTACCTAGGCTCTGCCTAGAAGTGTTCTTACTCTCTTGGCTTAAAGGGGCCGGGCAGTGGAACGCGCCCCGGGCGGTTCCCCCAGTCCCATGGGAGCCAAGCAAAAGCAACAGCAAAGGTAAAAGCAAACGCGCGGTTCCCCCAGTTGCGCTCCCTGGGTGCCAAGCAAAAGCAAAAGCAAAGGCAAAAGCAAAGGCAAAAGTGAAGGCAAAAGCGAAGGCAAAGCAAAAGCATAGCATAGCATAGCACAGCATAGCATAGCATTGCGCAGCATAGCATAGCGCAGCATAGCATAGCATAGCATAGCATAGCCTAGCCCAGCATAGCATTGTGCAGCATAGCATAGCATAGCATAGCATAGCAGAGCAGAGCAGAGCAGAGCAGAGCAGAGCAGAGCAGAGCAGAGCAGAGCAGAGCAGAGCAGAGCAGAGCATAGCGCAGCACAGGATCCACTATTGCTGCTACAACTACGACGATGAGGAGAAGGAGGAGGACGGCGTTTACCGCTCCTACTAATGTTGCTTTCCTAGAGGCTCCAAGTCCTAGGTAGGGTCGCACTGGGATAATTTCACATGTCTTCTGGGTTTTTGTCTTCCCCCCCATTTCCCATATTTTTCCATATTTTCCTATAATTGTGTCTCCCCCTCCTGCGATGTTGGCGCCATGATGATAAGATGTGGCCGGGGCAGGGGCGAGAGCACGGCCATGTGCACCGCAGGGAACGCTTTACCAGAGAGATCGCGGCCGTGCGGGCCCAAAAAACGAGAGCCAGCGCCGATGCGAGAGCACAACTCCTGAGCAGGAACTCAAGTGTGGAAGGCAGCACGTCAGAAGAATTTTCGCCGGCGGCGAAGTAGAGGTAATCCGCACGAGCGTGAAAGCAGTTCGGCAAAGGGAAACAATTAGTAAACACCCCCCCTGCCCCCCGCCGCTGGACAGGGCGTGCTCAGGCTCCCCGTCCCCCCTGCGGGGCCGATCGGCCGGACTCCTTGGACCTCCCGTAGGAGCCCGTGTGCACCGTGGCGGATGATTGGCAAGGGCTCGTGGCCGTCTGGACCAAAACCGTAGCTGGCGTGAGAGCAAGAGCACGACTCCTGAATATATCGCGCGGCGGGCACAGGGATCGTGGCCATGTGGACAATAGATGCAGCCGGCGCTGACGCGAGAGCACGATTCATGAGCAAAGCGTGAGGAAGTCTCAGGCGAGACGGCCGTCCAGACATGGCGAGCTCTCTCTCCCTCTCTCTCTCTCTCTCTCTATCTCTCCCCGTCCCCCCTGTGCGTCTTCTGTGTAGTCCTTGACCACTGTGAGAACCCTGACCGCATTCGCTTTTGGTGAACTCTCAGAGGCGGCTGACTCTGGACCGTCTTGGCTGTTCTGTTGCATCTTCATGGTGATTGATCGCTTCATTGTTGTTGCTGGTCTGGAGCTGCCACGGAGCCGGGCCATTTTTTTCTGCTCGAGCAGCCGGAGAGACTGCTGGGTTGTGCCTGGGCCCCCTGGCCCGATAAGGGTGACCAACTGGCCACGGGCCTCGTCCCACCACTTCATGCACTTCTTCGCAGCCACCGCAGGCTGCGACTCATACTGGTGCACGTTCAAGCAGCGGAACTCCTCGATCTGCAGGTACTTGCAGGCATCCTTGGGCGCGTCCTGGTGCACCTTCTCGGAGTACTGGGCCACCGCGAGGGTGATGTCGTCAGCCGTCTTGGTCGGGCCATAGGTCTCCGGCATATACAACCCATAGTGATATGCAACAGAGCGCTCCCAGTTCGTCGAATACTTGGGTTTCGCATTGCCGTCGATGGACATGTGAAAGGGGAGCTGGTGCTCGTACGACTGGTTGACCTGCTCTTCGGTGATCTTCAGCTGGTTCACAAATTCAAAGGTTTCCGGCAGAGGGCCTTTCGCCTCATCGTACTTGGCATACTTGCCGAAGCCTTGATCCTTGTCCATCTTTGGAGTGAGCGGCACCTCCTTGATGTCCGCCACCGCCCTTGCAGCGGTTGGTGTGTCGGGCTCATGCAATTTTTGATAGCTGCGAAGCATTAGACCCAGGCCACCGACGCATCAAGCCCAACGTGCGTTCAGTTCTTGAACCAAGTCCCTGAGTGTCCTTGCCTCCCAAGCAAAACCAAATGCAAAAAAAACTTCAGGCACAAGAAGGCACCGCATCTACCCACCCCGCCCCCAGGCGCCCGGCAGATTGCGAAGGCGGATTCGCGCGGCAGCGTATCTGGATGCTCTGGGAACGCCGTCGGGTGGCTGCTGGCAAGGCGTAGGGCTGCGCACAGACAGCCCCTCCGAGGTAGCTATTGTCACCCCCAAAGGAATAGCCTAGGGCACGCTAGACAGCCCAATCATGGGGGCGCGTAAAGTTGGAGGCGGCACTAGATGTTGAGACCCTCCTGGACTAATTATGCTGAGGACCTATTGAGGGCGGCCAGGACTGTAGCAGATCGCTGGCCCAAGTGATCAGAGATGTTCACACGATCGGAGTGACCTTTCTGGCAGCAACGCTGGAAGCAGCATTGGCAGCGCGAAGTGCTCTGGAAGCGAGGGCTCGGAGAGAGCTGACAAGGCAGAGCACAACGACGATGGCAACACGATCTGGCCCAGACGCAAAAGCGACACGCTCGCTCGAAGTGACCTCTGGCCACAAGGCTGGCAGCATTGCTGGCGACGCGACGCGCGCCAAACGCAAGCTAGCCTGCTGGGCATGGGGCTTCCTGACAGAGTCGCCAGCAACAGCGCTGGCAAAGCGTGCGCGCCGGACGCCAGCTGGCACGCTCAGAGTGATCTCCCTGGCAGCAGCACCGGCAGCAACGCTGGCAGCGCGAAGCGAACCAGAAGCGGGTGGGCACGCTCGGTATGAGCTTCCTGCCGACAACGTCAACAACGCGATGTGCGGCGCTCGCGAGCCAGCATACTCAGAGTGAGTTTCCCGCTGCCAGCGCCGGCAACGCGATACGCACTGGCTGCGAACCAGCTCCCTCGGGGAGCGAGATCACCGAGCTTCGACACCTCGGGCATGTACAACCAGTGCGAGACTGAGAATCGCCAGACAATTCCAGAACTCCGCACCGGCACGAGCCGACCCGCAATAGGCAAACGTCATGCTGTGAACCCCTGGCCCAGGAGAGAGATACGCAGGGCACCCACAGAACGGCACCACGAGCTACCCGTAAGAAGTATTTCCTGGGCGCCGTCCGAGGAGGAGGAGAAGGAGGAGGAGGAGGAGGAGGAGAAGGAGGAGGGGGAGGAGGAGGAGGAGGAGGAGGAGGAGGAGGAGGAGGAGGAGGAGGAGGAGGAGAGAGAGGAGGAGGAGGAGGAGGAGGAGGAGGAGGAGGAGGAGGAGGAGGAGGAGGAGACAAAGAAGACGACGGGGAGAGTGGGCAGCGTGGCTGCCAAAAGCGCTGTCACGCAAACTGGCCGTCGCCCTGGCACCTGCGAGGAGAAGCCGAAGAAATACCGGCCACCGGAAGAACAGGAGGGAAAGGAGGCACGAAACGCAGAACAAGGATGAGGACGAGAAAGGGAGGGGAGGGAAGACATGCGGCCCACGAAACCGTGCTCAAAATCATGTACCCGAGAGCGGGCGGCTGCTCCAGACGGGACGAACAGTCCGAGAAGCGCGGGCAGCGGCAGCAGCGATACGAGTCACCTGTCGTCGTATCGTCGCCACGTGCAGAGCAAGAGGACGAGGGAAAAGAAGATGGAAAGAGGGAAACACACACACACAACAAAAAGAAAAAAACGAATTCAAAAATAGTGCAATCAGATACAAGCCTGGATGGCTCCAGCAAGACCAGTCCGAGTCCTTACACGTAGGGGCATGACGCGTCAGAGTAGACGCACACTTGGGGTGGCAGCCAAGGAGTGGGGAGGGGTGAAAGAAGACCAAGGGAAGCGGAGAGCGGCGGCTGCTCAGAGAGCTCACCGCCTGCCTGGCCTACAGGATAAGAAACTGGCTCCGCTACGTTTCATCCTGATCAGGGACTCCACGAAGGAGACCTCGGCAGCCACGTCATGGTAGGTCGCGTCCTGGACTGCGGCATCACTTCCTTGAAAAACGCTGTAGTATTGCCGCTGTCAGCTGGACGAGGAAACGCATGGACGGACCCCGTGCGACGACAGGAGCCGGAATCGCCGCGTCGTGTCAGACTTCGTGTCCGTCGGCTGGAGTTGGAACCGTGGTCAGATCAGGGGTCGGAGCAAATGTCGCGGAATTCCCCCTGAACCGTGTCCCGAGTTCCGCCTTGAACCGCCGTTTCAGCGGCGGTCGGAAGGGGGGGTCGGAGCTGGAGTCGGAGCCGGCGTCGGAGGGGTAGCCGGAGCCGGAGTCGGAGCCGTCGTAGCGCTCGTCGTCTGGGGTCGGAACTGGAATCGAATTGGAGCAGGAGCCAGAGTCGGAGGCGTAGCCCACGAGTCGGAAGCGCAGCCCGAGAGTCGGAGGTGCCAGATGCAGGAGGCTGGAGGTCAAGAGGGAGAGCCGGCGGGGAGAGGTGCTCGATAGGCGGAGGTGGAACGTCAGATGCTGGAGGTAGTATGTCGGAGCGCTGAGCTGGCGGAGGCAGAGGGTCGCAGGGCGGTGGTGGGAGTGGGAAGTCGAATGCTGGAGGAGGTCGAGGTACTGAGCCGGCGGGTGCTGGAATCCGAAAGGCGTAAGTGGACGTGGGACGTCGGACCTTGGAGGCTGCAGGGAGGAGTGCCTAACAGCGGGAGGCTGTAGACCGAAAGGTGGAGATCCAAGTGGAAAGCCGGATGCTGGTGGCAGGAGGTGAGAGTGTCGAGCTGGTGGAGGGCGGGGGTCGATGGGTGGAGGTGGGCGCGGGACGTCGGATGCTGGAGGCTGGAGGTTGAGGGGTGTCGGGCAGGCAGGAATTCGACAGGTGGAGGCGGGAGTGGAGCGTCGGACGCTGGAGGCTGGAGGTCAAAGGGCTGAGCTGGCGAAGGCTGGAGGTCTCGCCAGGTGGAGCTCTGAGCTGGCGGGGGCTGGAGATCTGTGGGTGGGGGTGGATACTGAAGGTCGGAAGGTGGAGGCAGAAGTTCGGTGCCCAGAGCTGGTGGGGACTCGGAGAGTGGGCGGAGGTGCAAGTGGGGCGCCACATGCAGGAGAGTGGAGTCAGGCGCGCTGCAGGTTAGAGTCGGGAGGTCGGCCTCGAAACGACATGTCAGATGTGCAATGGTATGGGAGTGGATTTGCGTGTCCTGTCGTGACCGCAACCACCAGCTGTCGAAGGCCCTCGGGGCACGACTGTGACTCCTTGCGCCTTCCTGGATCCGCTGTGTGATAACTTCGCTAAACGTTGGTGCCCCTCGTCGGAGGGTCGTGTCGGCAGTGATTCGCAGCGTATAAATACCGTGGATAAGCAGGACAACCGCAGGAAAGTATGTAGATTGGCGCACACGTGTGGGGATGGGTTGGGATTGAGTGCCAGCAACTCTTTCGCGAATGCGCACCTGCAGAAGTGCTAAATCGAATCTTCTGCAGCCCCTCCACATCCAAGCAAGCACAGGTTGTGTTGCGAGTGCCGCCCTTGAAATCTCTGGTGCGTGCACCAACGACTCCACAGTGTTCCCAAAAAAAGCGGCGCAGACTCACGGAGGAGCAAGTTTAGAAGTAGCTGCAGACTGGACACCGCGCGGCGCGCCTTCCAAGACGGCGTGTTGCAGCGGACGCTGGTCTCAACGGGCGGCGGGTGCTTCGCGTGGTCGAACAACTCCCATCGTCGAAACTTTGCCCGGACGCACTTGGCAGGGTGAGGCGCATTGTGAGCGGGCAGCACCTGACAGGCGTGTCGTTCGAAATCGGTCCTGGGGTGGTTCTTGTTCGCTGTTGGGGTGCGGGCCACACCTGGGGGGTCGACAGGGCGACGTTGCCGTTGCTCGCCGCGCTGTCGTCCTCGCCGTCATGGTCACATTAGGCAATGCCTTCTTGGCAGAGGCTCCATGGCGACCCGAGCTCGAAGTGAGCTCCCTGCTGACACTGCGGCCAACGCAAAAAAGCGCAAGATTGTGGGCAGGTACGCCGAGAAAGCTGATGTCGGCGGACGGGAGACGGCATTCTCGGAGGGACCTTCGTGGCAATAACGCTGGCGATGCGATGCGCGCCAGAAGCAAGCCAGCACGCTCGAAATGAAACGGTCCGCAGACTTCGGCTCCAACCCCACTTGCTGCCAGACGCGAGCTGGCACGCTCGGAGCGGGCCTCCGGCCGACAGCGCTCGCACCGCGGTGCGTGCTGGGCGCGAGCCGGCACGATCGGAGCTGCCCGCGCGGCAGCAACGCTGGCGGTGGAATCTGCACCGGGAGAAAGCTGACACGATCGAAATACAATCTTGGCAGTGACTTCGCTGTGGGCCCTCCCAGAACCCAGAGGCGAGCCCCGGCGCGCTCGGCAGCGGCGCCCGGCCGGCGGCGCCAGCAGGGCGATGGCTACGGGTCGCGAGCTGGGGCGCTCGGAGCTGCCTGGCGAAGGCGCTGGCCCCTCGAAGCGCGTCGGGAGCGAGCCGGCACCATCGAGCTGAACGTTCTGCCGACTTCGCTCTCAGCACCACCTGCTGGCAGGCGCGGAGCCAGCACGCTCGGGCTGAGCGCCCTGGCAGCTAAAATCTCCAAGGCACTTTGCAGCGCAACTGAAGTTGGGGAGCAGGGGAGGCTAACACTTCCAAAAGATGCAACTCGGCAAACGAGCGTGAAATCAGAGCGTTGACCCCATGAACCGTGAAATCGCAAGGAGATGTCAGGCGTGCGATCTAGAATCTAAGACTCTAGACCCCAGACCACACTGAGCCGTCGAATGGCAAAATGCAACATTACCCTGGCGAAGGACCCAAATTGATGCAGTTGCGGGTACAATCGTTGTGAGTATCGCCTTCGGTGACCTCCTGATGGGTCCACGGAGCGTGCGAAGGGTGTGCCGATAAGGGGCGGGGCGGCCATGCGGGCGCTGCC